TATTTCTCTATAAATTACCAGGCTTAGGTATTAAAACAAAAAGGACTAAGACAGATATGACTCTTGCTTTAATTTGTATTTCCCTAAATAGTAGTAAGGTTTAATATCTTAGCATATGTTTGTGTTCCTTACTTAGAGACATCTGTTTGTACATTTACCTATTTTTAAAATTATTTATGGGTAAAACTTTATCTATTACAATCTGTCATTTTAAAATATGTATTTCTTTAGGTTGAAAACATCTAGTAAGTTTCTGTGGTTTTTCATTTGACTGTGTTTATATTTTTACTCTGTAGAATATATTTCAGTTATAAGTGACCAAACATAACAATATTAGAGTTTTATATTTTTCTTATATTTGTAACTTTATTTCTGATTCATATCTGTACATAGAATAATATTTATTATAATTTTATATGATTTAGTTCATGTGGAAAGATGTTTTTATTTATTTATTTATTTATTTATTTTCGAGATAGAGCCTCAATCCATCCGCCTGGGTAGAGTGCCGTGGCTTTACAACTCACAGCAACCTCCAACTCCTGGGCTCAAGCGAGGAGTCTCCTGCCTCGGCCTCCCAAGGGGCTGGGACCACAGGCGCCCGCCACAACGCCCGGCTATTTTTTGGTTGCAGCTGTCATTGTTGTTTTTGGCCGGCCCAGGCTGGATCCGAACCCACCACCTTAGGTGTATGTGGCTGGCGCCTTAGCCACTTGAGCCACAGGCGCCAAGCCCATTTTCTTACTTTCTTCAAAGGGTGGTTATTAGGATTAAATAATTGTTGAGACCATGTGTGTGAAGCATCTAATAGAATGCTGAGCGCGTAGTGGGATTAACTCAGGAAAATGACCTCATGCTCTTGACTGAAATTCTTGTACTAGGTCTTCCATCCTTCTCATTCCTCTTACCACTTAAATTAATCTTCCTAAAGCAAAAATTGGAGTTTTTCAGTTTCCTGCTTTAAAAAAAAAAACACCCCACAAAAGTCAATGGCTTCATTCATCCTTTCAGCCAGCAAGTAAATATATGCTACAGGTCATGAACAGTGCAAGAAATGACTAAAGAATAAAGTTCAAATTCTTCAGCCAAGTGTGCAGGGTTGGGCCTAGACCCAACCTACCACTCCTCTTATCTCCAGCCGCACTGAGGCACTTTTCTCACCAGCCGGACTCTGTGAAGAGTGGCCCTCCACCTGCCTGGCCATGTGCTGCTTTGTTCATCTGTCTCCTTCTCTCAGAGGTTTTTATTTCTACATGGTATTGTATGAGTCTGTATAGTTGTTTCATCTCTTCTCCTAGATTCCCTTTTAAACTCCTTCAATAAATATCTATTGAATGAATGGGTGGAATCCTATTAGCTCTCTTATTTCTTCCCCTCTGCAGACGTGAGAGTTGTCCTTTTGTGAACATTCTGATTTGTATTTATTATTCATTATCATACTTGCCCAAATAGTCAAAATAGAAATGGAAAACTGAGCAACTTATAATTTGAAATTAAAAGCTAGTTTTTAAAGGGTTTTTTCCCCCTTTCTTTAAAATATCAATACCTGTAATTCTTCTAATTTCCCTTCGTTTTCACTAGCTGAAATCCAAGTACATAACTGTATTATAAAATTGTCATGAAAGGTATGAAAACAATTTTACATGAAGTGACACTCCACTATTTTTTTCTGCCAGGCAGTCTTCCTGTTGCAGATTTCAGACTCATACGATTTCGCTAAAATCTGAAACACCAGTTATTCATTCGAATACCAGTCATTCATCATCCGAAGTCACTTTTATTTCATCTATTTCTGAATAAACATTTAAGGATATTAGTTTTTTGGGTTTTTTGTTTTGTTTTGTTTTTCTTTTTTTACTGATACTGCCCTACTTTGGAGAGCTCTTTAGTAAGGTTAATTTTTCCTTCATATGAAATATTTGAGAAATAGAGTCATGTAAAGACTAACAAAACTTACAGTACAATTACAAAAACGCTGCTCCATTTTACCCCCTTTATTGCCCTTGCATGGTGTTTTAAGTTCGTCTAGAGTTCCTGTCATTTCTTCATGATGTTTAGTAACTGGAACACTTGCATCATACACAGGCTTGCACTTTACTTCCTTCCTCAAATTATTAATGAATGTGTTTAAAGGCCATCACTGCTATCTCTAACCTCCATTCTGATGAGCAGCCATTCACTACTATGTCTTTTCCTGTTTCTTCACCACGTTTTAACCCATTCAGTCATTTTTTAACTCCTGTGTTGGCTTGCTTCCTGGTAGATGATGTAGAAAAACTACCTTGTCTCCTAATAAGAAGAATATGTCCTCCAACTAGAAACTAATTTCAGAACTTGTCAGCTATGTCACATTTTTGAATCAGCCCATACCAACCATGTCATCATAAGGGGTATCTCCTGGCCCCGAGTTACTTGTCACCTTCCTTCTGGTGAGTCAGGGAAGAGAAATGTGCTTGCTTTTTAATATTTCAATGTAGATCATTTTTGCAGGGCTGTACACTCATGAGATAGAACTATTTCTGGTGGACTGGTAGGGAGGCAAGTTCCTTTGGTCATTGATGACCTCTTGTCCCCATCCATCTCGTCAGAGTCCTGTGTGTGTATTAAGTATTATGCACTCAGTTACTTTGGGTAAACAACCTCTAAATCCAGTCAGTATTTTTCTTTCTGATAATGTTGAAGTGGTAGAAGGTGAGGCGAGACCTTAAATATTAAGAAAACTTTCTTTTTAACATTTTAACTCACCATCAAACAGGGCCAAGATGTATCCAACAATGTGGGTAATATTTTATCCTAAAGTCTCTAGTTCCCCTACTGAAAATATTTTCAAATTTGCTTAGTTCCTAGAAGAGGACATTAAAGGTCTGAATGTTGGAGCTTGGGACAGTTGATGCCTTAGGCCAGTGTGATTTTGGTGCTTTCTCACCCTCCTCCTTTTGAACCTGTAAGACATAGCCCTCCGTGCACCCTTCTTGTCCTTTTAGATTATTGAAACAAGGGATGTGAAAGGAAAATTGGAAAAGTTGGGCAGCCATGCATTTGTTTCATCTTCTACTCTGTGCTCATGAAATTTCTGTCAGGGCAGATGGATCTGTCCATTCACGGTGAACTTTGGAGACATGTTCTATTCACTTGGTGAGGGCCAGGCCAGAGGTCCTCAGGCCGTGGCCCAGACGATTTCCCTGCTCTGAAGATAAAACTAGGGTCTTCTGAGGCCAAGAACCCTGTTAACTCAACTTGAGGAGTGTGGAGCTGGAGCTGTTTCACCTGGCTGTGCTGATGGCAGGTTGGAGATCTGTGTGTCACCTCCTAATCCCCTCCCCAGTGCCCTGGGAGAAGAAGGAAGTAGGGTTGTGTAG